CTTTCACCTTGGTTCAATCACATATTCAATCCTTCTCTCCTCTTTCCTTTGCAAAGTCTGTCTCCAAATAATTACGCACGTATACTTTCAGGTCATGCTTTATTCTAGTGGTTTTTTAAAAATCAGTCTTATACATTAAAATTTCTTGCTTTAGATGAAATAAAATGTAGCTTTCATCCCTGCCCTGTCCCTACCACACTAACACGTTTCCCTATCACCCACTAGTTATGCTATGATTTCACATTAACTGTGAACTGTGTTTCTATGGGAACTGTACATTGTTCACTGCAGAGCCAACTAGTGAATCAGGGTTACATTTTCTCTTCTGGTGAGTTTTGTCTTTCCTTGACAACTACCGCCCCCCCCACCACCTGCTTTTCATTTGCTTAGTTTTCTGAGTACCCTTTTTTTCTTCTCCAACACATCATCAGATTTGTCAGCTCGCCATCAGTATTATTTTCCAAATGGCCACATACCAGATAAATTTTCAGTTCCATCCCCATGCTCTCTGGTGCTGGCCTTTTAAGGGGAAGGGATCTGAGGACCACTTGGTATAAGCAGACACATACCTAATTCCCATGGTCAGCCCTGCATCCACCACCATGCCCACTGTCCCCAAGCCCTTAACTATCACGGTTTTACTTTATCAGAAAGTACACCTCCATTCTCCTGTCTGGGCTGCCGGCGCTCATCGGGCTGCTCAGGGTGGGAGGGTCTGGGGCTCCACCCGTCTTGTTTGCTGGTTTTGAACCATTTCCTTGCTTCTCAGCCCTGCCTCACGCCTGGCTTCCTCTCCACCGCGTATCTCCCAACCTTGTCTCTGAGGTGGTTCTTCAGGATGAATTTTGCTTCTTTTCTTTGCACTGGTTTTAGTGAGCAACACTTTATCCACTCACCACCTTCCAAACTTCTGTGCCCTCTCCCCCATGTGTGTCTCCTCTACCATTCTCTTGTGGCCTGTCCTTGTGGTTTACTCTTCTCCTCTTATTTTAGCGGGGCTTTGAGAAAGAGAGCACATACACGATGAATCTACTCTGTTTATAGAGTCTGTATGTTTTTTCTTTAAGAAGATTAAAAGCCTATCTAAGTTTATAGGGCTATAGGAGACTGGCCTGTTAGTTACTGGAGGAAAATTTAACCTAATCCAACATGTGGTATTTTCTTCTAAAGCAGAGCTCACAACTCAGATTCCTTTAGGACCCTGGAACACAGTAACACCTGAGTGAAGTAAGCTGGGTGTAAGACAAGGAAGAGGTGGGGACTGGGGGGAAGAGGGGAGAGCCAAAACTACTAGAATGACACAGCAGTGACTCGGCCCCAGCTGAATGTGGGGATCTGGACCTAACATTGCCAGATCTTCCTCTCTTCCCAGGAAAACCAGTAATTGATCTGCACTCGAGATACCCGAGTCAGATCTTGGCAATAAGGTTAACTATCTGCCTCTAGAATTCTGGCTTGTTCCCACACTTCATCTCATCTGAAATAACCCCTCACTCTTACCAGCTTTACTCATCTTCATCACTTATCAGTATCTCTGTTGTACTAAGTTGTATGTTTCATCTGTATGCCCTGCTCAAATATTAACACCATGGTTGTGATACTGTTTTCATGGCTATTAAATGAATGAAACATTGTTTAAAATGGTACAGGCCAAAGTGCTTACTTAGCTCATTGCACATGACCACTTCTCTGAGGACTTACACAACCGTCTGGAACTTGTCAGTGCCCTGTGGCCCGTTAGATTTATTTTTATATGCATCAGTTTACCAGCTAGAATATACGCATCTAAGGACCTGGAGCTACATTCTGCTCTCTCTTCCTCAGCGATTTATCCACAGTGGGCAACTAATAGTTTGATCTTCTCAGGCACATCAGCCAGTGAAACAGACAAGTGCTGTGTATGATGTGAAGGTGAGCACTGAAAAAAGGTATTCAAAATTGTTTGGTTTTAACAGATATGCAGTTTAAATTATGATACTTTCTGGGGCTTGGGCACCTTGTTCTGGTTGCCTCTTAAATAAGACAGCAGCATGCTTTGGGGTAGCAGCCGTTGACAGCTGGCATTCTATGGAGTCAGCAAAGGCCTGTGCATTTATGCTGAAAAAGACTTCTGTGATTTATGCCAAAGAAACCCAATAATGCAGAACGGCTCTGTGCAGACAACTGCATATGAAAAAGGGATTCCACTGCTTGAGGCAGTTTTCAGTGAAACAGATTAGTGTAATTTTTAAAACTGTCCATTATAGATCCCCAAAGTTTCCCAGTTTCATGTGACAGGAACAACGATTCGTCCAAAACCACTTAAACACAGCCCTGTTTTTGACTTACCTGTCCAACACGCTACTGTAATATTTAAGTGTGAAATGAAGGGAGAGGTCCCAAGGGAATTTCTGACAGCCATTCACTGCACAGGTATTTGATGGAGCTGTCACTTAGGGGGAGCTCCCCTTCTTTCCCTAGACGTTACAATCAGCTCTGACAGATGTAGGATGGTAGGCAGGTAGCCAGAGCTACTGCACAACCAGCTGACTCTGGAGGCCCGAAGGCAGTGGGCACAACCACCATGAGTCCCCTCGCTGGTCCGGTGCTCCGTCCTCCTCTGCACCTAGCCAGCACCTAGCTCACGGCAGATACTCAATAACATCTCCTGACGATGGGTATTCTCAAACACCCTTTCTAGTCCTAAGCTGTGACTTGGTCCCTTTTCTCGGCCCAGGACAGTATTACAGTAAACTTGATGCAAACGCTGTCCTTGAGGTTAGTACCACTAGGTAGCCCTTTAAATGGCAGGGATGGAAAATAAAATCCTTTAGATAGTTTAGATTTAAAATCTCCTTCATGAGGCCCAAGGTAAGACCACCCAGCTGAGCCGGGTATGTTTATATTAACCTGGATCTAAACCAAGATTTTTATTTATCCTCATGAACCTTACTGTGGACAGGTGGTCAGCAAGCCCTATATAATGTTTGCTAAATCAATAAAATATCAAACTGAGATTTTAATGGCCCACAGGGCCAAACCAGAATAGAGGAGAGCAGAGAAGCCATTTTTCTTGGCTGGATGTTACGCTCAAGTGATCTCACCCATTCCTGTCACTCTATTTAATTCCTGACCACCGGTGACGCGTACTTCTTTGCTTTAGCGCTAACCTGTCTCCAGAACATCAGATCCATTACTTCCAAGTGTCTAAGGGGGCTTCCCCATGGCAACAAGTCTAAAATGAATCTTATTTTCTCCCTCCTCCCCACAGCTATACCTTCTAGCATTAAATTCCTATAATATTTACAGCTAGTTTTTTATTGGTTCAGTAACCATCTGAGTTGGTTCAGTAACTATCTGTGTTGTAGCTGGTATTTTTTAAAAACAAGACAATGGCCCTGTCTGGTGGGGAAAAGAGACGCGTGAAGCCCCACGTGTGATCTAACGAGTGCTGCACGGGCTTGAAGGAGCGAACACCTCCTTCCACCCTGCAGCCAGGGTGGCATCGCGGAGGAGGGATGGAGTGTTCAACTTCATCAAGTCTTGTGTGTTCTCCTCGGCTCCTCAAGCAGTAAGGCTCCTAAAGGCTCAATCCCTTTCCTGCATGCTTGTTTCCTAGCCTGGCACGTAGCACAGAGCCACTAGCAGAGAAAGAATCACTGACCCAGGAGCCCAGCTAACAGGCCAAAGTTGAACGTGGCCCACCCGCCAGGCACCAAGCAGCACCCTACCTGCACGCTGAGCTCTCCTCTCTGTGCGGCTTCGGCTTTGCTCTGAGGGAGTCTCAGTGCACTGGGATCCCTCTTTTTCTCTCTCTTTTTTAAAACTCTCAGGAAGACTTTCCCCACTGAACAAACTACAGAGGTGATTTCTACCAACCCTTTCCAGATTGTTAAATGTGAACACTCCTGCTACCTCTTCCCCATGACCAATAACTAGCATTTGCCTGATTCTGTTCTAAGTACTTATTATGCGAATCATGCATTCAACCCCCACAACGAGCCGAGGTAGTGGACACGATCATTATCTCTATTTTACAGATAAGGGAAAGGGAGCATGAGAGGCTAGCTTGCCCAGGGTCACAGAGTTAGCTATGTGCTTGCTGCTCAGGCTCCCAAATCTATGCTCTCTGCCACTCCACTCCCCTTCTGATATGGGGTGGTGGCCCTGTCACATCTATCTTTTCTACTCTGGGACATTTAAGGACCGAGTTGGAGCATCGGCACAAACAAGAACAAAGTGCTTGCCAAACCACCAAAAGGAGAGGAGCTGCCATTTACTCAGCTTTGCTCCCCCCACCTAAGGCCAAGCTGATCTCTAAACAAGCATCAAAACCCGAAGCTCATTAACATCAGTGTGTGCTTCAATAAGGTGAACACTACAATGATGTACAATTACATGCTAATAATTCAATGCCCAAGAGTCCTGTAAAACAATTGCAAAGGCCCAGGATTATCACAGTATGCAAATGCACTAGGAAAATCATTACCTACTTAGTCCCCTTCATTTTGGTGGGTTTAACATAAGAATAATCCATGCAACCAGACGAGATTTCATTTTACAGCTGTAGTAACCAAGTACATAAAAGCCTGAATCTGTCCCAATAGCTTCTAAAAGATTTTTCCCATAGTGTCATAGGCAAAAATAATGAAATCTTGCAAATGTACAGTTAATAGGACCCTGGTGGACACTAACTTCAAAAATGCATGGTCTGTAAGACATTAAAGGCTTGATTTTAGTTTCTGCACTGTTCCTGTTAATAACAATGTCTAATTAAAACATCTGTAAAATACTGATAGTTTTAATTTTACATAAAATTTCCAAAACAACTGTTACACAGTATAATAGGTATCTGCAATGAATAGGTTATTAATGGAAATATTATTTTAAATTAAAATCAGGTTCTAAATTTAAATTAGTCATCTCTGGCTAATGAAGAGAAAAAGAAGTCATCCGTGCTGGGAATAGTGCAGCACATAATCTAGTTCTCAACATCCGTTACGGCAAATTCACTCACTCACTCAGGCTAAAGGACAATTTATTTTGCTTCTTCTGACATATACTCTACGTGGCGCTTCTGACAGGTTTCACAGCTGAACTCAGTATTAAACTACCACCTAATGCACCGTTCCACTTTACTCACAACCTGAACCCGCCCTCCCAGTTTACAGGGGCAAGGAGGATGGTAGAGAACAGGACTGCCTGCAGTAGGTTCTCCCTCCCAGCCCCGCTAATCCGATGAATATTTTAAAAAGAATGGCATAAAATCTCAGCTTCCCCTTTCTCTGGGTCTCATCTTCTTTTACAAAATAAAACAAAAGAGATAAGCAAGGCCTAGTGGTTGGCTGCAATTCAATACCTTTCTTTCTAATTAACACACAATAAGAGAGGGCTGCACCCGCTCTGCGCTGAGGGGTGTGTCTGCCTGTGCTGCCACTGAGTTGGGGAGGGATTCATTCCAGGTGATGAAAAGCTGCGTTTCAGGTTGCTTCTGGTTCACAGCAGATGCTGCAGAATGTGGTCCACAGCATGAGGGAAACTCTCACAAGTTAAGTAAGGAGGTGGGTTAATTTTTTCTTCATCTGTTGCTCGGTATTTACCTGAAATGAAAGTACAGCAGGTGAACAAAGCTACTGCTGGAGTGTCACAGTGACCACGCCCCGTGGACACCTAGGCCACCACAGAACCGCCCTTACGATTACTAGAGAATCAGAGGCTCCATATCTCCCAAAGTATCTTTTACTGAGGCTTCAGGATGCAATGAAGAAATTCAAAGAGATATCCCATTGAGCGTTTCCCATCGAGCGTTTCCCTAGGCCCTGTAGCCTATCATAATGGACAAGCTAGGTGAGGGGTCACCTAACAGCTAAGGGTGCCTTCAGATCTCCACAGCTGATGAAATCATTTTCTACCCCCTCCAGCCCTAAGGAGAGAAATGCTGAGTAAATCAATGCTTTTAAATGGAAGCCCGGGCCCCACAGGGCAGAGGCCTTGTCAGCTCCCGAGGGTAAATGCTGCTATCAGGAACCCTTTCAACCTGGCATATGGCAGCACCTGGCGCGGGAAGGGACAGAGTGATGGATGCTCACAGGCCGGGGCCAGGCAGGATGTGCCACGTGCATGGCAAGGCACCAAGGGGCAGGACACCACCTGCCTCTCCCCAGACTCTGGCTTTCAAGACCCACAACTGAACTCCCCAGCACAGCAGAGGAACTATCACACACAGTGGTCACAGCTTTCACACACGTAAAGCAGACAATGCTGGTCTTCCTTTAAACATCCTTCATGGGTCCCAGTACCTCTCAGGAAGAACCTCAAATCCCCACTGTTGCCTAGCAGGCCCTCTGACATCTGGCCCCAGCACCCCTCTAACTTCAGCGGGTGCGCCCGTCACAGGCTGCAGTCCTAGACTGCACCGGACTCTTCCGAGGACCTGACATTCCCCTTTGCCTGGAACACTCTTCTCGCCTGACTCCCACCCTCCTACTTCAGCTCAGACTCCAGGTTCCCATCCACATTAGACCCTCTCCTTGTTACTGTCTCTTAGAACATGTTTTTTTTTTTTTTTGCCTCCACAGCAATGATAACAATTTGTAATTATATACATACACATAGTTTTGTTTGTTTAATGTTTGTCTCACACCTAAGACTATTAAGTTCTCTCAGAGTGGGGGCCAGGCCTGTTGTATTCCCCAATGTGCTCTCAGCACCGACAAAATGACTAGCACAGTGTGAGCATTCCTCAATCTTCTTTTTTAAGAATGGAAGGAAAGAAGGACGGACGGAAAGAACTGCAGAACACTGCCTCAGGCAGGCCTTGAGGAAGGGGCCAACTGCCCGCTCTGGCTGCCCTCACAAGTCTCCTTCTCCTTGCTCTCTCAGCCCTTTTTCTGCGGCGCTGCTAATTATTTTTCTGCATTTTCCAGTATTCTCTACCTAACGCAGCTCCCCCTAAAAGAGACCCACCATTTTCTACAACTCCCTCTGTTTTCTACAACTATCTCTTTTTTAAAGAGGCTTTGCCCAGCAGACACAAAGCCTGAAAACCCCCCGCTCCACACCTTTGCATTGTGGTGAAGATGCTTCTTGCCTCGCTGACTGTGAACTCCTACAGGACAGGAGCCCGCATGAAACGTACAAGTATACAGACATGTACCTCATCTACCTTAGCATCCTCAAGGTACCTGTCCACATATGGTCCACGCAGTAAACCACTGCTAGTTTCCTGTTTCAAGCTTAAGTCCCTTGAAGTATTAACTCCTTCGCAAGGTTTCTATTTGGTCTCATAGGTAAGTTAATCACCAACTATTCCTCTATCATCAAATCCCTGCATCCAGTGGTCTAAGGGCGAATGTGTGAAAGTCAAGTTTCTTAGCCATGTTGATAAGGACTTGCAGAATGCTCCCGCATAATCTGGCCCAGCAAGTGGGATTTCTACAAAGTACAAAGACACGGTGGCTTGCACATGTGTGATAGCTCTAGCACCTCGCACTGTGTCTGGCATACAGCGGATGCTCCACAATGCTGCCTGAGTGAACAGAGCGGACCACCCTCACCCATGCCCGGCTCATTCACTGTGGCGGTCTGTGCTTTCCTGGATGGATAAATGATGAGTGGAGGGAGCACAGGGGAAGCCCATGTTTATGAGATTAGAGAAAGAGTAATTCTATCTTTTCTAGGTGAGTTTTTTACATGCTCAACAGAAATTGTAGTTAGGACGTGTCAAAAATCTTTATTAACAAATCATTAAGCAAATGTACATTGAGTACCTACAATGTGCTACTCATTAAGAAATAAAACTGCTTGACCAGTGTAGCTTAGCTGGTTGGGCACTGGACGGCAAAGCAAAGGGTCACAGGTTCAAATTCTGGTCAGGGCCCCATGCCTGGGTGGCAGGTTCAGTCTCTGGTCGGGGTGTGTACGAGAGGCAACCTATTGATGTTTTTCTCTCACATCATTGTTTCTTTCCCTCTCTTTCTCCCTCCCCTCCCCTCTTTCTAAAAATAAATAGAATCTTTTTAAAAAAAGCAAAGTTGCTCAACTATATACACAAAAGCACTTATTACTGAATAAGTTAAATTCTTTTTAAAGATTTTTTTTCATTTATTTTTACGAGAAGGGCCGGAGAGAGGGAAACATCAATGTGTGGTTGCCTCTCACACGCCCCCTACTGGGGACCTGGCTTGCAAACCAGGCAAGTGCCCCAGACTAGGAATCCAATCAGCGACCTTTTGATTCACAGGACAGCACTCAATCCACTGAGCCACACCAGCCAGGGCTGAATAAGTTAAATTCTTTATGATAATTTTCAACACTGGGAAACCTCATATTTGTTTAAATGCACTGAGTTCAAATTCACTAGAGAAGTCCGCTTTCCTGCACGATTGCAGATACTGGGCTGACAGGATTTTTTGGACAGAGATGGACAGTTCCAATGGGATGGTTCTGATGAGCTGGACTTAGCCACTTTACCAGCTATTCTTTCCAGATTTGACTGTGTTACGCTGCTGGCACTCTGAAGACTGCCTGGATGCCTGTGTAATAGGCTGATCACAACCAGGTGCCAGTCAGAAAAGAAGGCGGTGCCAATGGAGACCAGTGGGGGAACCGGGCCTACAGACACTGGCACAGGACCAGCTCTGATGATGCTTAGTGTACACCCTTAATTACGTAAGCTAAAGAAAGGAAATGTTCATGGGAATAATAAACAAAAGGAAAAATAGTTATCTGAGGATTTTTTTAAGGACTAGAAAAAAATGGCGAATGGCAGGAATTTAAAACTTAAGATATAAGGGAGAATCATCAGTGTGGCTATTTTTCTTGACTTTTCTGATACTTCCTCTTTGTTTAGAGTAAAGGGCAATAATAGTCCTGAAATGGTGGAGATCATTGGGACAGAAATCTGAGAAAAAAAAACCACATTAATTCCTGAGTAGCTGGTGTCACCTGAAAGCTCCAGTGGCTCCCCCCAAGCCCCAGGCAGAAGGAGACTGTGTTTCCATGTTCACAAAGGGTCTTGCCAGTTACTTCTTATTCAACTGTAGCTACAGTTCCATTTTCTTGTTTCTATTCTTTAGTTCAACATAGCTTTTATGCAACCACATTTTTTGAACAAACATCATAGTCATAAGTAAATGTACTTTTTTGAAATAATTTCCAAGTAGCAGCTGTTCTGTGACTTTGTTTACATCTTCCCTTTTACGAACAGCCTATTAAATAGTTCCACTACCATTACATGACACCAGGCAAATGAGCTCACAGAGCCATCTATGAAACCATTTATCTGCCATTTCATTTATAAGTGCCCGATGACAACTCTTGAATTTCTGGCTCTCATCCTTAAATGTGTGCTATTAGTTCCAAGCTCAGCAGGTATCATCTGGGGGCAGGGTGAGGGTGGGGGACCTTTTCGTTATGTGTAGACAGGCTCATTAAGTTCCCAATGTGACAGTATTCGACCCCACACATGGCTCTCATGCCTGTTCTTTTCTTACCTTGAAAGAACTTTTAAAACTAACAATGCATATAAGAAAATTGCACAAAATCATACCCTGTACTGTGAGAGCTAGAAGTGACCTGTCCAACCCCATCGTTCTTAAAGGATCCAAAGAGGTGAAGGACGTTAACCAGAGCCTCACACAGCTAGTCGGCGCCAAGCTGAGGCCAGGACTCCAGACATTTCACGAGTCCACTGTAGTCAGAATACAGGATTAGCTGCGTCCTCCCCATTAAGTTCCTTGCTTCTCTTTAAATTTATTTGAGGAACCACAAAGAGTATAACTAGTTGTGGTACAGAAAATAGTTCCTAAAATAGTAAGTGAAAAGGTGAGAAAATTTTTTGTGTGTGTTTTAGAAGTTGCACACATGGGTGAACACACAATACCTTATACAGACGAGGTATTAACTGTACACCTGAAATCCATATAATTTTATTAACCTATGTCACCTCAATAAATTCACTTAAAAAAGAGAAAATTAAATAAAAAATTATATTGAAAACAAATAGAAATAAAAAGTACAAACATTAACACAAAGTATGAGATCACTTAGCTGCTCAGCTCCTAAAGAGATCCGCTGCATCTTGTGGCTGGCACAAAAAGAAAAGACGTTTTTATAAGGGCACCACAATCAATGGGCTTTGGCCCATTCCAGTGCAGTATCTGTGTACCTAGAAAATCATGTAGATGCTAACTGTCAACTGTGTATGGCTATCTCTGGCTAAGTACGCAAATACCTCTGAACTCACATCTTCCTAGTATTGTACAGCACGGGCCCTCCCACGCTGACTGCTTCCCCTGTAATACTAAGACCATTTTATTTTTGCTTTGTGGCAGAAAAAGACTTAAAGCATCCAGGGAACTTTGGCATTTCTGAAAAGACATTTCTGTAAGCAACTGCGAATTCTACCATCCTGTTTCAGAGAAGGCTTACATAGGAGATACATACCAGTTTTTACTAAGATGCCCAGCATGCCCACATTCTGAGCCCCACCAACGTCATCCCGGCAATCCTAGAAAAGCATAAAGAAGGCACTTAGTACAAGGTCTTCAGTGAACTTGACAATAAAACCCTACCTAATGATTTAACTTATTAGGCTGGATGGCCAACTGTAAGCCCATGATTTTATCCTTTTTTTAAAAGAGATACTGACTTTTTTTTAAAATCCTCACCCAAGGATATGTTTATTGACTTGAGAGAGAAACATCAATTGGTTGCCTTCCACATGTGCCCTGACCAGGGACCTAGGTATGTGCCCTGATTGGGAATTGAACCACCAACCTTGCGGTGTACAGGATGACACTCCAACTGAGTCACCTGGTCAGGGCCTCATGGTTTTATCTTAAAATGAAAGCCGGGAAGATGTAAAAACAGATCAATCCACATGTAATAGTGTGAGGGGGCATACCATTCGGAAAGGGAAGGGTCACAGTGGTGGGAGATGTACAAGGGTAGTAATTCTAGTAACCAAACACAAAGAGCAGTCATAGTTCTTCAAGTTTTGTCACATGTCCATCGATCTCCTCTTAAAACAGATCATGAAAAAAGGGGGTCTACCCATTTGGCAGGTTTTAAGGTGAATGATCCAACGGCAGACAGTAAATGAACTAGATTCAGAAGACGGCTCTTCTCCTGCCCAGGTAATATATTATCCCTACCTCCATCCGACAGCCCCTACCAGGTGCAGTCAAGTCAAATCAGCGCGCCTGAACAGACCGTGGCACTGTCTGACACTCACTTCGCACGTGGGGATACAGGAGTAAGGAGTCAGAAGAGGAGGCCCTCGTCCTGGCCAGGTGGCTCAGCAGGTTGGAGCGTGGTCCTGTTAACTCAAAAGGTTTTGGGACTGAGCACATACAGGAGGCAAGTGACTGATGTTCCTCTCTCACCTTGATATTTCTCTGTCTTTCTCCCCCTCTTTTTTCTCTCCCCTCCTCTTTCTCTCCACCCCTCTGCCCCCCCCCACTCCCTTTCTCTCTGAAAGCAGTGAAAAAAAAAAAAAAGAAGTCCTCTGGTGAGGATTTAAAAAAAGGAAGTCCTCTCTTCAATTCTTATTCAAGATGGGGATGAATATACTCGGTTGATTGTAATGATAAATTCAAGGTAATAAAATCCAAGGACCGGAAGAAACATCAAGAAAATCAATCCTGCTACCTCCTGTCTATTAGCAGGATTCATTCAGACCATGCCTGAAGAAAGCATTTTTCTTTTTTTTCTGTTAAAGTCATTAATACTATTCAGTAACAGCCCTTGGAAATGAGTTTTAGAATGTCAAAATTCATTCAAAGTCTAACTTGAAACCTTTTCTGTTGCAGCTCAACTCGCCCTGTTGAAGCAGTGAAGGCAGAGGAAAGGAGGAGAAGGAAGGAGGGAGGTGGGGAGAAGGCGACAAGGAAAGGGAGGGAGGAAACTGCCACTCTCTGGGCCAACAAACGACCCTGCACGAAGCTGCCACCACGCGCCCTTCTTGCCCCCACCCATCTGCAAACAGCATCTCCCAGGATGAAGAGCTGTGGAGTCTCCAGGCTCAGAGAGCCTCTTCTTCAAACGCACGCCTACCTAGGAAAGTCAGCTGAAGGCCTGCCAAGAAGAATAAGGTGACTGAAAAGATGGCTTCTCAGAACAGTATCAAGTTCAACGACTCTCCCATTCAGTGTAACAGGAACAAATACATACAGAAGTGGAAGAGGATATCGGGTGGCCTGTGACACATTTGCACCATCACAAGTTAAGAAAGCAAGGGATCTACAGTTTGTCTTGGAGGGAGTCCAGAGCCTCAAGTTCTACCTCCAGCTATGCACTAATGGGCTATGAAACTTTAGGCAGTGAGATTTACCTCTCCCGGCTTCAGTTTCCCAGTCCATAAAATGAGATTTGGACCAGACAATCTTCATGGTCCCTTCTAGCCTAACATGTTATTATTTAAAAGTGAAATATAATCCTTGCCACCTACTTACCACAAGGCAGTGTGCTTTCTAGCTTTTTCTCCCTCATGGCACGTGCAAAAAGCACTTCCCCAGCGCACCGGGGTAAACTGACAGGGTGCTCACGGTCAGAGGTCACCAGCTACGGGCCTCCAACAGCCCGGGTTCAGACCCGCCACTCAAAGGGCTGAGGCAATCGATACCTTTGAGCTATTTGCGGCACACTGATTGGGAAGTTCTTCCATAGACCATATACAGAGAAAAAAATCAATACGGGTAGAATTCTTTGGGTATGGGCTGTTTCCCACATAAGTAATATTTGAAAAATCTAAATTTCTGTAAAAGTTTCTTTAAAAAGATATAAAAAGCTTTTGATTGACTTGTATTTAACGATATCTTAAATTATATATATCTCATCACACTATAGAGAATGTCATAAATAATCAAAATTTCAGTTCTTTAGAAGAATGCCACTAAACATCTACTGGAAAGCCTGTTTTTTAGGCAGCTACTTATTACCACCCACTACCGTCAGCAGCAGAGTCTGCTTGGGTTTCGAAGAGGGGCCGGCTCTTCCCAACGTGACCGGCAGGCTCAGGGCGTCTCCTGGGCTCTGCTACTTACGTCTCCTATCATGACAGCCTCCTCGGGGTCACAGCCAGTGCCCCGCAGGGCTTCGAAAAAGAATGTTTTCTCTGGTTTCCCCACTACGGTGGCTTTGGTGTCTGTGGCATACTCCAGAGCAGTCACGAACGGGCCAGGGCCCAGGGCTAAGCCATCTTTCCTCTTGTAATACCGGGCTTTGTGGATTGCTATCAGCGGTGCCCCATCCAAGAGTAACCTAGAGAGACCGAGAAAATGGAAACTGGCTAAAAGCAAGGCTTTTGTGACTGGAAAAGAATGTCAGACTTACAGAGTGGTTTTATTCACATTCACAGAAACAAAGAGTTTCTTATTAACTTTTAATGACTTGCTGTCTTCTAATGAATTCACTAAGAACTGCTGGGAATTACACTCAAATACACTAAAGAAAGGTGATAGATTATTAAATTTGGGATTGCTTCAACCTTTTACCTTTAGTGGTTTCACTTTACCCAAATCACCAGGGAAAGAATTAAGAGAAGTAAAGCTAAATAAGACACTCAAGGGAAGAAGCCTAACTTAATGAGACAAGTTGTCGCAACCTTCCCTAACGGTAAGCAGGAGGCCCTGGAGCCCTCTGCAACACGACACAACCGCCGGCTGCAGAGACGTACTCAACTGGCTCCTGAAATACCCGACTCCCCGTTTCTTCTCCAAAATGTGAGCTGCTTTCTGATTCAGAAATTTACAATACAGCATTTTACAAATACTTTCTGCGCGTCCATTTCCCTGTTCATTCTACCTTGTGACTGCTGCTGATGTTACTTTGCAAATCAGGCCCACTTCCCGGAAGAACACACCAGCACGATGCTGTCTGTCTGTGTGTGGTGTGGCATGGTTTAGCCAACAAGGGTGAAGGGACAGCCTTTTCTGCCAAATCTCTTTCTCTGTCCTGACACAGGACAAATGTCCTCATACCAAACAAAAGGGCACAAAGAGTTTTCCCATTAATTTGATAACCAAACTCTATGGATAGCTAAAGATCTCCATTGGTGACTCGGGAAAAACATAGTAAAACAAATCCAAAAAACCCCACCAACTTCTTAATGCTCCCTTACCAACCCCCCAACCCCAAAAAACCTACCACACATCCTGACAGAAGAGCCTGTAGTCACAGAGCAGAACAGTCACACACATATTATCACCTAATGGAAGGCAGGACATGATATATTTTTTAAACTGCTTTTAACCAATGTAATAAATGATCTCACTAGCTTAATTTACTTTAAGTCATCTACTTAGTTAAAATATTTAGTATCCATCGAGGAAGAATTCATCACATCTTACCCTTCACAATTATGAGTAATTAAGCGCTCAACTATGAAACTGCTAAATTATTCTTGTCGGTGGGCATGAAAATGCCTTCCTGCGGGAGATGCAGAATTCAGACATTTGTGATTAAATATTTTATTAAGTAAAAACCAATACTGGACTATTACAGGGCCTTACTGTTATTTACTACAAATTGCTCACAGCACAGGACCGATCCTTCCAATTTATTCACTGATATTAATACAAGTTTATTTCTTAAAGCAGATCTTAAAATCCAACTGTTAGGAAACCTGATAAAAGCCACTGTGCTGGCCTTAAAGAACCACAGCTGATGGCAATGAGATAATAATGGGTGATTTATCTATCTCCCCTCTTGTCACCCGCCCCTGATCCCATTTATTTGCTACTCTACCACGGAACTGGAATTCTTTATGCAACCGACCTCAAAATTGCTTTCCACTTATATAGCTAAACTAAAAACTCATTTGATTTGACTTTGTTAATATTTTATTATGTATTAACTGGGTATAAGACTTATCAGCTTGATTGATGTGCGTACTTAATTCCCAAGCAGTGCTTTAGTGCCTTCCCTGAAAGGCTGAAACTGTGGGTTCCTCTGCGTTTCTCTAAATGGAAGCTGGTGCTGCACGAGGCTGGGAAAGATGGGCGTCTCTCAGGGAGCGGTTCCTGCTTCTGTCACGCTCCGCACAGCATAAGCTCTACTGAGACTTTGAAGAGCCAAGGCATGTTCATATAGACTGAACGGTAAACTTTTTCTAGGACACAGATGAAAAGATCTTTTATAGTTAAATACTTAGATCAAAAACAGACATCCCCAACACTTGAAGGGTTTTTACACTTACTAGACAGGGCAACAAAGGGTTGCTTGTTTTTGACAGCGGAAATAATATTAGCAGAGGGAAATCATCTGTGAATTTTCTGTCTGTATCTAACTACAAGCCTACTGAGGTACAAGACGCCAGGAAAAAGGGACACAAAGAAGGCTCGATGCAAAAATCTCTGGCAGTGAATTCCATGCAGGCAAAGGCAAAAACTGAAAAACCCTAGTGAGGGAGCAGGGCCACAACAGAAACATCTTAGGCAAACATCTAGATCAGTGGCTGTCACCCAGGGGCAGTGTTGCTTCCCAGGGGACACGCGGCAGCGTCTGCAGGCATTTCTGGTTGTCACAAATGGTTGAAGAGGGGTGCTGCTGGCATCCGGTGGGTGGAGGCCAGGGATGCTGCTCAATGTGCTACAACGGATAGCACTGCCTCTCCCCACGCCCAGCATCGGCTGGTCCCAAATGTAGTATCTACGCTTCTTAAAATAGGTAAGAGCAAATCACTCCACATTTGTAGGCCAGGTTTTCTATCAACAAAGGGGTTGAACTGCCAGGGTTTTTTAACCTTAGCACTACTGACATTTTGACAAGTTGGACTCCATCAAAATGAAGAACTTCGTGTTTTCACACTATTAGGAGAGTGAAAGTGCAGGGATAAGATATTTGTAGTCCATATATCCAACCAAAAACTTGTTTATAAAATGAATTCCTGCAAATCAGTAAGAAAAATACAATCCAATCAGAAAGGGTAAAAGAGTTTAATGGGCATATTGCAAATAAGTTATCAATGGCCAACAAGTATATGAAAAGGTTTCAAGAACATTTCTCATCAGGGAAACACGGACGAAACACAGTAAGATGCCACTACACACACCAAACAGAATAGCTTCAATTACACTACTGGCCAGAGACTGGTGGGGACTTGGAGCAACCGAAACTCTCCTTCATAGCCAGTGGGAATATATGACTTGCTATAATGACTTTAGAAAATTGTTTAGCAATATTTACTAAAGCTAAACAAGTACTTATCTTATTACCCAGTAATTTCACTACTCTACAGACCCAAGAGAAATGAGCACATATGTCCCCCAAAAGACATGTTGAAGAATGTTCATAGCAGCTTTACTCATAACAGCCAAAACTGGAAATAATCCAAATGCTCATTAACAATAAATAAATAATTTGTGGAATAGTCATACAACAGACCACTGCACAACAACAAAAATTAAGATACAAAACAACAACAAAGCACTGCTACCTGCAACAGCTTGGATAATTCTCAAAAAAAGACAAAAATGCTACAACTGTATGATTTCATTTACATGAAGGCCAAGAGCTGGCAACGCTGGCAGGAGTCAAGGGCTGCAGTTGCCTTGAGGAAGAAGTGGAACTGATGGAGACAGGAAGCCTGCTAGGGTGCTGGGAGTGCTCCAGACCTTGAACAGAGGGGTTACACAGGTACACGTAGGTGTAAAATTCTACTGCATTGTCTACCGACACTTTGTACACTTGACTGTGCATGCTGTACAAGGGGGGACCCAAAAAACCCCAGAATTTATTTATAAAAACCTGTGTATTTATTCTTACATGTTTAAACTTCAGTCACCTTCAAAGCGCTCTGTTTGATGCAATACACCTATTGAGACTTTTTTATCCTCTGCTCAAAACAGTGTTTGAACTCGTTGATTTTGATGCCTTTTAGTGCTTTTACTGTTTTTTGTTTCACCTCTTCCACATTGGCAAAATGTTTTCCTTTGAGAACCTTCTCCATCAGGGAAACAAAAACAGAAACTTACTTGGGGCAAGACCGGGTGAATAGGGAAGGTGGGGCACAGGGGTCATGCCGTGTTTGGTCAAAAACTGCTGGACACTCAGCACAGTTGGGCAAGTGCACTTGTAAATCACCCATCATGAGGTGGGCAAAGGTATTGAAAGAGTCTTCAGAAATATTTCCTGAAACCGAACACAGCCTCTCACAACACCAGCCGGTACACTGACACAGATGGGTTCCCAGAACACTCACCTCTGGGGGAAGCCTGGACTGCAAGGGGCCTGCCCTCCACAAGATAATTATGATTTTTTTGGGGGGGGGGTCCCCCTCGTACATCAATTTTAAAAAATGAGTAACAATATATTTATGTGGTTTTTTCACCTACAACTTTTATTTGGAGTAGCAAGACTTGCCTTGATCAATCTCCTCAAATTAAAAAATAAGAGCAATCAGTGACTGAAATTAAACTCGACTGTGTATTCCATGAATTTCCAACTGGTGTATAAAGTGGTTCTCTTGCACATACTAATGGAATGCTTTAAATAACTCAAGTTCTTAAGTCTAATACAATTTCTCTTGGTCTGGACTATAATTAAAAAGACTGCACGGCAGTCAGCCCTTTCAGAAGGGGTAAAGGCCCTGGAAATACTTCTGACTGGAGCCCTGCTACCATACTGTTCTGGAGCTCCTTGGGCCCAGGGTTCTATGCACTTAGAAAAGACTCAGGAGTTACGGTGCAAATGAAGTAATAACTGACACGGCTGTTGTTGATCTTTTTTCTCCACTTCTCTTCTTCCCCTTCTAAGAAACTGAATATACTGAAGTAATTAACTTTTAATTTTTTCTTGAGGAGATGGTGGAAAAAGCAATCCAACATTCATCAGGAACGATTTATGGTGATAAGAATCTCTTCCTGAAAAAAAACCCAAAAAACCCCAAAAACCCTATTTCTGCACATCTTTAAGATTTTTTGAGGACTCTTGTGCCTTGTAATAATTCTAGAAAAGAAATAATTAACTTCAAAATTAAGTCATTTTGAAGCTTCGACATATTATTCTTAAGCAGCCTTCCACCTTTTGCATTTAAATGTGAAAGTTGTGATGTTACTTATTTTCAGATAGAATGACATTTTTAAAAGCTCCTCTAGAAGCTGGAGAGCAATTACTCTAAATTTATTAAAAAAAACAACAACTTGAACTTTTCCTAGGTTAAGCAATTTCATGTAGTTTTTTTCCTCGAACTATACTTCTAAAAAAAAATCTTAAGGAACAAACAAATATTGCTTAACAAATGTTCTCAGAAGGTGCTTTTTTTTTTTAAACTAACTTCAAAAACTTGGAAATAACCAACAATAGGAAACATCTGGCTAAGTGGAATGTGCTGTGGGAGTCAAACATGTTGTAGAAGAGTATTTTAGGACATGGAAAAACATGCACAATATATCGTTGGGTTTTTAAAAAGCAAATTTCCACACAGTATATATACATTCTCATTTTTGTCTAAATATGTATGTGATAGAAACTAGCTAGGTGGAAGGATTACGGATGATTCTGTTTATTCTGTTTTACGCTTTTAAAATTTTCCACAATGGAGACATATTACTTTTCTGCTTAGATATTTTTTAATGTTGTTAATGCTAAGTTCAAATAACCTTTGTCCAGGTAGACTTCCTCCTAATAGAAATCATTAAATTTAATTATAATTGATCTTTTACTAAAATGCTCAAGCTTTGCGTTTCTAACTCAGGTCAGAAGATGGAAAAGACCTTGCTACAAACTAGTACGACAGTTGTGAAAATGGGTGAGCTGGAGCTACGGGTATGCATTTTGAGGACTCACACAGTATTACTAAGGAAGAATGCAAGTTGATAAAGTATAAAACAAGCAAAGTAACACTATACACTGTCTAGGGATATCCATATACATGTTACAGTATTTTTAGAAATGCATGCGAATGATAAACACAATTCAGCATCTTGATTACTTTTGGGTCTTGGGTGATAAAACTGGGAAGGACTATGCAGGGGATATCAAATTGTGTCGATAATTTGTTTTTTCTTACACTGCTTGATAAGCATATGGGCATTTGTTATATTATTCTTTGTGTCTTTTAGTAGTATGTAAAAGACAAAAAGACACCAATGGCTCTTAGGATTTAAATGCTTTCTAGAATCCAAACCTCCAAATCCTATCTATTCCTTATAACAGGTTCATATTCTTCTCTAAAGTCACTTCTCTAGGATTCCATGTTCCCAATTTCACTCGAATGTATAAGACATATTTGTAGCCAGATTGTACCATGCATTGGGGGTGGGGGGCTACTCATTTGAAACAGTAAATAAAAAGCAGTGCAATGTGGAAGGCTAATGCCTCCACCTGAGGGCAATATGCCCCTGAAGCTGTTGTTCAAGGCGGCTATGCAGTGGGGTTTAGAATCCAATGTTTATTCTCATTATCAACCTGAACAGTAATTTAACTGGTCGGTGGTTCATGTGAGATGTATGTATTTGCCACTTACAACCCAAACAGCTGCAGTCATTGGTTGCAAAGCACGGTCTCTGTGGAGACATCAATATGCAAAGAAGAGCAAGACCTAAAACCTTCTGTTAACTCTCCCCCCAGCTGTTAAGTGCATTTGTGAAATTAGAGTTGACCTACAAGTGCACTGTAATGCTTTCAAATGTAGTATTTAGAAAAATCAATATGGTTAGGGAAGTGTACTAATTAGACAGCATCCGAGCAATTATAAAGTCAGTATTATGTCAACGTACATTTTTATTACCCTGAGTCTAGCATTCATCTAAGACAGAGACCAATTAAATATGTCCTTCCCAAATTACCAGCTAAAATCAATCAATACCTTCTCCTTGAATTCTCTGGTAATTAGCAGGGGTAAATTCGGAAGTAAGAAATTATAGTACATTCTCTATTTCAGATGAAAACTGAGTTTGGTATGGTTGGAAACCTTACTCAAGGAGAGGTGATGTGATATAACATACCCACCCCACCCCAACCCCAAGAAGCCACAGTAGACTAACTGAAGTAGGTGAAGCAAAAGAAATGTTAACACCACATACCCCCCAGTGTATCTTCATGCAGTGCGGCATAGTGGTGGACTTCCGGGAAATAACTACAGTAAATAGATACTGAGCAGGTATCTGCTCGGTATGATACTCTAATAGCAGGTATGTTTCTTTTAAACAAAAGCTTAACTTTCAGAATAACTAAGTGCATTAAGTAGTCATAGTTTCTATTAACCGAGGCTCTAAAATGCACACAGGGAAAAAAGGTGTGGTTTATGGCCACAGAGATTATACATGAAGACAGCCATTTTCAAGATCAACAGCCAATAGTGTGCCCAGATGTGCGAGCCTTGTAGTGAGTTTTAGTTTCTTACAAACATTCTGATTCTAGGACACATACATCAAGAAATGAATTCTACATCAGATATAAGTTAGAATGATTCTTGTAGATCTTCATAGTGGTAAGAAAATGATGTTTTTACAGCATTTAGTTAAATGCCAAAATTTATGGAGTCATTACAGAAACTTTTTAAGCTAGTTCAAATGCATCTTCATGTAATATTTTGAACTGTCATAAGGTAAAAGATAAATTATACTGTTCAATGGTTTGACAAGAAGTAAAAGACAAGATGAAAATGGAAAAAAAAATCCCAGGGAAAGTAAGTTTCACTCTAGAGCAGATTTGTAGGTAAATTCTGATCCAATTTATCTTAGGAAGTATGAGAACCAGTATGTAGTCTTCCTTTTGGAAGCAGCAGCAGAAAGTTCACAAAAGTAAAATGCATACCCAACTGAGGATTTATAACTTATGTGTTAGCTGTGTTTCCCCAAATTTCAACCAACAGCCATCGGAACATCCCCACTTAGACATACCACATGCCAAACAGCCCCGACCTAAACTTATCACCTCCTGAACCCCACAGGGAGTGCTCTCCATCGCATGGGCCCAGGTTAGACACTTGATGTCCTCCTTGACCCACTGTCCTTCTTCACCTCCTAACAATCATTCACTGAGTCATGTTGACACTACTTTAATCTGGTTTTCTTTTCTTTTCTTTTCCTTTTAAAGATTTTATTTGTTTTAGAGAGACAGAAAGGGAGGAAGAAAGACAGGGAAAGAAACATCAATGTGTGAGAGAGACATCAATTGGTTGCTTCTCACATGCCCCCAACCAGGGACCTGGCCTGAAACCCAGGCAGGTGCCCTGCCCAGGAACCGAACTAGTGATCTTTTGGTACGTAGGCTGGTGCTCAACCCACCGAGCCACACCAGCCAGGGCTGAATCTGGTTTTCTTCATCCCTCCTATTCTAGTTCAAACTACCATTATCACTCAGAGAATAATTTCTTTGAAAGTATGGTCAAATGTGTCCAATTTTTTCCACAGCTTGGGTTTTCACTGGAGGAAGAATCACATTTACTATTTTAGGTGCATTAGCCTGGATGCAGTTTTCTGTCAGAAATCAGCATAGTCAGTGGAGAATCACACAATGATGATAAAAGATAAAACTGCTAGCTTTAAGAGCTGCAATTTTATTATGAATTTCTGCTCCAGAATATTGATTCTATAAACCAAAAACCCCAATGATCATACATTTTAACATATTGATCATTTTTTAAAAACCAAGCAGGATCAGCCCTAGCTGGTGTGGCTCAGTGGATTGAGTGCCAGCCTGCGAACCAAAGGGTCACTGGTTCAATTCCCAGTGCAGGCCAGGTCCCCAGTAGGGGATGCATGAGAAGCAACCACACATTGATGTTTCTCTCCTCTCTTTCTCCCTCCCATCCCCTCTCTAAAAATAAATAAATAAATAAAATCTTAAAAATAAAACAAAACAATAGGACCATAATAAATATTATTTGATGTTGATCTTGTGATTGTGAAGGTATCAGTCCTCATGTACAGTCTAGGTGGCTAGAAAGTAAAACGTGTATTACCTTCCATGACAAAGACTCAAGATGGGAAATAGGGAAGTGTATGATCAGATGAAAAATACATAGCTAGAGACTTACCGGAATGCTTGATTCAGCATTTGATAATGAAAATGTTCTGGTGCCAATCCTATGACCACAGCATTAGGATCGCTTGTTTGTATTCCTAGGAAGGGAAAAAAAATGTGATTGTTGAAAAGTGCAATGAAAAGTAAAGTCACATTTTATAATAAAGCAGCTTTAGTCAATCAAGCATAAATTTTGCCGTAACAATAATTTGTGGTTTAAGAAATTATCCTGCCCCATGTACTTTGGAAACAGTATAAGAGATAATTGAAAGAATATGACTTCTGGTATTTTTGCATATTTTTTGTATGGTTTTAAAGCTACTCAGCAAATAGAATATCTGACCTGAAATGTGTAAACTGATGTTCTCAAACAAGTAATTTCTAACTTCCAAAAGCTTTACTGATTACAATCAACAAGGACAGCCATGAATTCCCTACAAGCTGGCAGATCAATGGCAACTGATGGGGGAATGAAAATCTAAGAGGCCAGGGAAATCAGACACTCTAATTGACACAGTTGAGGTTAATACATTCATGATAAATGTGTAATGCACTGTATATTCTACTGTTTTCTGCATAATTCCTCATCTACTTTTAGTGTCACAAATATTACTCTATAATATAAGCATATTTTAGGACCCTGGTACTTGATAACAGCACCTCAGATATGACAATTAAGCAAGTACATTCACCATCACAGTTATTAAAAGTCTGGCTAAAGGTTCTTTGGATTATCCACATGCCAATTCCTATTTGCCTCTCTTATTGCTGGCAGTTAAGCATTTTTCATGATCAAGTCCACCAAAATGTAAGGGAAAGAAATAGGAAGAGGAGATGTCCAAGTTTCCAGTTTCTCTCTACCAGTAACCACGAGTATTCAGTAACTGATTAAAGTCTACTGAAGGAAGAAAACAAAATTATTGGTTACAGTGAAGTTAAAGTTTTTTTTGTGTGCCTTTATTATTTCATCTACCACTAACAAAGACATTCAATGACAGCAAAGATATTTCTTGCTTTTCAAAAACCCACCTACTTTGGGTATGTTCATGTACATAAGGATGTTTCAGATGTTGTCCTGCACCAAATGACAAAGACTTCTTCCCTATCAGGGACTCTGCTTCTATAACCCAACACCAGCTCACTGCTAATACAACTAGAATCTTTTTTTTAATCCTCACCCCAGGATATGCTTATTGATTTTAGAAGGAGGGGAAGGAAGAGAGAAAGAGAGGGAGAGAAACATCAACTGGCTGCCTCTCATACACACCCTGACTGGGGACTGAACCCCCAACCTAGCCCTGTGCCCTGATAACAAATCAAATCTGCGACCTTTTGATTTGTGGGATGACACTCCAACCAACAGAGTCACATTGGCCAGGGCACAACAAGAATCTTAATCTTCTTCAAATAAAGTCAAAAGAGAAAAATATTATTTTTCGGATTGAAATATTTTGTAGTACTTCAGCTAACCCAGAAACACAAATACATTGATTATAGAGTGTATTTGTCATTATTTTTGGTTGTGCCCAGTTTCTGAATACCATTCTCATAATCAGGTAATTCACTAGCTCATAAAGCCTGGTAAGAAGCAGAGCTCAACCTACCATAACAGAGGCTAAAAACACCAGATACTTACCCGTATTTTTCAGACCATAAGACACACCTAGGTTTTAGAGGAGGAAAATAGGAAAAATTTGAAGCAAAAAATGTGGTAGAATATTTTATAACTTAAATAACATAATATTTCACCAATGTAAATGTAAGCAGAACTCAACAGCAGCATTAACAACTATTATTTCCCCTAAATTGGGGGGGGTCTTACAGTCCGAAAATACGGTACTTTTCCAGCCTCTCTTGCAGCTACGGGTGCTGGCATGAAACACAGGCTCTGCCCATCAGAAACACCTTCCCAAGGTTTTGAACTGGGACCTAGTAAAACAAAGAAACAGAGAAAACCTCCACCGGAAGAGGTGACTGCTGCAGCCTCTGACTCTCAGGCAGCAGTGCTAGCTGGAGGATCCAATCTCCAGTTCCACTGGGGCCAACCGGGCAAGTGCAGAGCTCAAAGCTTAGCAAGGACAATCACTGGCACCCGATCAATTCTGTGACAGGATGCTGCACACCGCTGCTGGCTGCACAGCCCCAAGACTAACTCCAGGCTCTTCTTGGCAGTTCTGTGGGCTACCCAAACAGACTTTTTTTCTCTTTGTCACAGAAATTTATAGAAATATGTGAAAGTAGAAAGACTAGTATAATAAGCCTTGAGGTACCTATCACCCAGCTTTAGCAATCTTATCTATCATTCTCTACTTTTTTTTTTACCAATTTTATCTATCATTTCCTATACTTTGTGAAGTCTTTTAAAAGCAAATCTCAAATACCATGTCATTCATTTCAGCTTTTCATATTTCATAATTTATTAAATATCACTCAATACCTAGCCCACATCTGAATTTCCCCAAATGTCTCAAATGTCTTTTTACATCTGATACGTAATTGGCATCCAACAAGGTGCATACAGTACATTTGATTGCTATCCCTTCTCATTCTGTAACAGCACTCCTCTTCACTTACTGGAGCAACTAGTTCATCAATCCTGGAAATGTCCCATGTTCTGGATTTGGCTGACTTGTAACATTATTCAATTCATTCCTCTACCTTATTTTTCCTGTAAACTTTTCATTAACTCTAGAGGCTTCACGGGTTCACATTCAATTTTAGGCAAGATTATTTCATAGGCAATATGAAAGAACTAATTATGTCACATTGTGAACCACAAAAATTCTACTTGCTCTAGTGCTGGCGATGTTAAGGTTGATCAGCAGGTTTAAGTGGTGTCAGGCTGATTCTTCTCTTTTAGAGTTTCCCATCAGCCCTTACCCAACATGTTTAAACTCTATTGATGTTGTTGCCTATTTTGTTAGGGCTTCCCAACGGTGATTTCTTAACTCTGCCATTCCTTTTGCATTTAGTAGCTGGAATTCCAAAAAGAATGTACCAAATCAAATATCTGGTTACTTTAAAATATAATTCAAATAGCAAAGGCAGGATAAATGCTTGTTTCACTCCCTTAATTTTTTAAATTGATTTTTAGAGATAGAAAGGAAGGGTGAGGGAGAGGGGAAGAAAGAGGGGGGAAGAGAGAGAGGGTGGGGAGAGCGGGCAAGAGAAAGATTGATTTGTTGTTCCACTTATTTATGCATTCACTGGTTGATTCTTGTGTGTGCCCTGACTGGGGATTGAACCAGCAATCCTGGTGTATTGGAATTATGCTCTAAGGAACTGAGCTACTTGGCCAAAAATGTTTCACTCCTTTAACTTGGCAATTTTCAAAATAATGATTTACTACCCTATCAAACTCCAATAGTGACCAATGAGTTCTGAGGGACTGAGTATCATTTGAACTCATGGTGTTTTATATACACATGTTTGTGTTGCGATCCATTGCAACCATTATTCTTTTTGATGCTCAAATTACCCCTTCAAATTGGCCCAGGGGTCCTCTAGACACGACCTCATTAGTCTTCAACAGTCTCCTTGCTAACACAGTTAGTTATCCCAAACTCATACACTACCTTCCCTGATCTGGAATTAGCCATCACTCCAAGGAACTAAACTGGGAAATAGCAGACCCCATAGTCTGAGCGCTGGGTTGTCACTGCTTCTAGGCCTTTCCAGTGGAAGATCTAGATAATATGTATTTTTCCAGAGAAAAAGGGAGTTGATAATATTTTCAATTAAAAATTAGTAATACACAGCTTTTGATTAACTAATTTGATTTTTATATTTGTACATATTCTCACATTAAAGTCTTGTATCTTAATGATATTAGTATAATTACTACTTTGTTTTATCCTATATGTATGATACAATATTACATATAATTTAAATATAGCAATACCAACATTACTAATAAGACTAAACTACTGAATGCAGTTTAAGATTTCTTTGCAGTTCTTTTATCCTTAAAATCTATCCTACTAAGAACAAATAGTCAAAATACTATATTTTGAAGTCATTTGAAATATTTCTTTTGTCTGAGTAGTTATGTCACCAACTTGATATAGAGTTAAGTTCATTTGTTCCAATTTGTTTTTAGTTTTTAGGTGTCAGTTTGTTTTTCACTGTTTAATTGTCTTTTAATTATGTAAAATATTTATATGGTTCCAAAGTCGAAACTATGTAACAAGGTACTTTTAAATGAATCTCCTTTCCTTCTCCCTTCCTCCCCTTTTAGATAACCATTTCTAGTAGCTTTTCATTTATCCTTCTTTAGCTTCCTTTTACAAATATTATGTGTGTATGTACATCTATACATTCATTTCCCTCTCATGAAGATCACTCCATATGAAGGGATAAAAATCTTTGTCACTACTCATTTTCCAGCTCCAAAGCATTCCATTTTGTGGATATTCATAATTAATTAATTAATCAATCACTTCCAATGATCATTCAGGTTGTTTCCAATCTTTATTATTACCAATAAGGCTATAGTGAACAACCTTGTTCATATGACGTTGTGCATTTTTGTAACTATATCTTGGAGACAGATTCCTGCAAGTGACATACTGCTCATATGCACCTTGGTCAGCTATTGCCAAATTCCTCTCCACTGGAGTTACACCACTGTGTATTCTTGCCAACACCCAGATTCCTCTAATGAATGCATTTTGTTTAGTTCAGCCAAAATTGGTTGGCTTATTACAGATAATTATTATTATAAATAATAATTCTTGATACACTGGGAGTATAGGTTGTGAGGTTCTGCTCAGCTGTATATCCATGCCGAACCTTCCTAATCATTACTTGTACCACCATGACATGGTTTTATATTATATTTATACCCATTTTTCTATATTGTGTCATTTCAGTCTGAGTATCATCTACAAGCAAAGCAATGTGGCAAAGCTTCATAAAACCCGGATATTTTTCCAGAGTCTGTTAATTTTTCCAAAGAGAAAACAGTTTTCTTAATTGAAAGTATTTCATGGTCATTGCGAATATTTCATACAATACAGAATGATACCTAGTTTTTAAAAGGGGGCTATTGGATTATTTCATTTAATCAAATGAAAACAGTGGCTCATGGACCAAGGATTATAAACTCAAAGTAATTTTGACCTGTGCTTTTTCAAACTGTGGGTCATGATCCATTAGTAAATTGTAAAACTAACTTGGAGGGCTCTAAGCAGCATCAAAACCAAACAAACAATTAGGTAAACCAAACAGAAACTAAAGCATTTCTCATACAGTCAGTGTTTACCATATATAAACACACACATTTATGTACCAGGTTCTATGTAACGTGTTTCATTTACTGCGGAGTGTGGTCAGAACGGGCTAGAGAAACACCAATTTAGATTCAATGATAGGAGCAAATCAGAATAAATACTTCTAAACATTCAGTCTGAAGAATGATTTATAGGAAGATGTGAACACCTGGTTTTTAAATCTTTCCAAATTTCCCCTACCTTTGAAATCAGGTAATGCCCGATCGTCAACGAGCAGCATGGGCCGGACCTGTTTCTGCTCCACTAAATTCCTGGCTGCAGTCAGGGAAGTAAATATCTCATCTTCAGAGATATCAAATTCCAACTTCTTCAATCGCTCCAGCAGGTCTTTCTTGCTCTCTTTGGTTGTGTTGGTCACAAACCTAACCATCACAGAAGTACCACGTAACCTGGAAAAGTAAAATTCAGATGTCAACAAGGCCACTGTTACATTCTAGCCCCATAAAATCTCGTAATTTGGAAGCACTTGCCGAAGGTCAGAAAATAAAAGTAAATGTTTTTTTTTATTACCATGATCTTTTTTGTTATCTACCCAGAATCGCTTACACATTATCTACACCCTCGGGGATGCTTTGTTGCCAAAGGTTACAAAGTTAAATTGTGGAAGCTGTGCCTACCTTTTTGAGAACCTTCTGTACTTTTACTGAATTTTACTGCAGGGCTTTATCAAAGAAGTGTAAAAAACAAAGTTTAGTAATCACTGTGCTCCCAGAATAGGAGAGGTGAAAGTTACTTTAGAGATTCTTAGTGCAATCCTCTCTTAAAGAGGAGAAAACTGAGGCCTAGAGGAGCTAAGTGACTTGCTAGGCTTTCTACAGCTGGGTAGCAGCAGAGCTGAGACAAGAACCCCAACCTACGTCCTGGTATAGGACTTGACCTTCTACACTAAGAGAACGAAGGACGACATCTCAAGATGTTTTCTTTTTCTTAGCCAGTTAAAGACTCGCCAAACCCCAATGAGTTGCTAAATTTATAAACAATCTATCTGGACATCTCCAAGAAACATTACATTTTTTAAAAAAATAAAATGTTTTCCCCTTCAACTACTTACATACAGGATTGTTCTGATTCTGTGATCTGCTTTTGGAACTTACACTGGCAGTCAGTTATCAGAGAAAGAATTCATGACAGTTTAGCTTTCTCTAAAAGTAAAAATTATTTTCTTGGTCCTATAGTTTTAAAACCAAGATCTAAAAAGAATTTTAATTTAGCTACAATTTAAAATTTTATATTAATACCCATTGTTTTTTATTTTGTTCCTCAAATGGATACAAGATGTAAAAGCACTCACCACAATTTAAAACATGCAAGCACATAAAACAGAAAAGAGGTTCTTAAGTATTCATGCAAAGAACATTAACTAAATTGGTATGATTAAATAGTTCACAGTAATCATGACTGCCTCTATGATATCCAGCTTTTCTGAAAAACACATTAAAATTTGGTGGTTTATCTCTCAAAACAAAGTGATTATTTCAACACAACTAAAAATATCCTAAAAATGAACATGCAGAATTACTGAATAACATCATTTTTAATAAAGGTTTTTTAAAAACTTTTATATTTTTTACTGGTCCCTCAACTTCCCATAGTCTGTTTGTTTCTATAGAAACCAAAACCAGCCATAACAATATAGCGATTTCCCTGGATGGAAACCCACCAGAGCAATTTGTAGGCACTGGCCCCTCCAGAATGGCAGGCTCACAGTTACAGCGATACTCAGCAAAAATAAAGAGACTTGTCTTTCAATCCAAAGTGGAAAGCTCATCTTTAGAACAGGGAAAGCTCCTGTCCACATCCTGTCCCAGAGAAAGCCTGACTGAACAGACAGTGTTAGGGAGTCAAGAGGGAAAGTCCAATTATGCATCGGATTTCCTTTTGGCTTTAAACAACACAATGGCCACCTGTAAAATGAACATCATGACTCCTAACCAAACTGACAGCTTCCAAATGATGCCTACCGCAAATACAAGTTTCTTCTTATTTGCTGATTCTCCAAATGCAAAGCAGGCTCCCCGAGAGAATGCAAGCAAGGTCTGTGTCCATCTTTTATCCTCACACCTGGTGCTGTGACACTAGTTATTAGATTTTCTGAGTAACAGCATACTATTGACTATTTTAAGGTGGGAAAATGATAAGCATCACATGTTAAGTATTGCTAACTTTGAAAACTTCTCTAAATTATTTTAGTATTAAAGTGCTTAATACCAATTATTAGTACTGTTATATTGATTATTTCTTTAGGATACTCAGAAGCAAACATTCACATTCAGTTTACTTTAACAATTTTTACTATGTATCCCAGTTTGTATCTAGACATGTTAATTATTGTGCCTCATACATAAGAAATATAAAAGTCTCTAACCTTCTAAGGCATTAAATACAGTTGATGAAAATAATTCTAAAATTTCAAGTCCCTTAATTAAACTGTATTTGAGCAGCTTTGTGCTCAATGCTAGATCTCAGATGAAGGGGGAGTGGGTGGCACTACGCCTTTGTGTATGTGTGGGTTTCCCTTCCAGATTCCTTTATATGTGATTTTTCCAAAGCTATTTCCTCTACATTTTAGAATCTTGAGTTTTCATTCACAAATTTACATTACTGACTTGGGAAAAGACACACAGAAAGAACAAAGAGAACAAAGATCAAAAGGCCAAACCCAATAAAGGCTTGGAGCACAAGGTGTGGAAGATATTACAATGTGTACATCTTCTAGCCAAATCCAAGGCAGTTTTTGCATATATGGAAGCTGGTGAAATGCCATCTCAAGGCCATCCATTTGGCTAATGATCTGCCTTGGCAAAATGGCACTTACAAACATATTTGTCAGCTGAACCTGGAGGATAGCTTGCCTTTTAAGAGCTTCCTGCGCGCCTGGCACAGCTGCATCTTCAATGTGAAGTGTGCCATTGAGATCCACCAAAACAGCTTTTAATGCACGGCGTGCTGCCATCCTTCATTCCCTAGGAGAGAGCAAATGAAATGAAAGATACAGTTTAGAAAACAATGGACAATTAAAAACTAGGAAGTCTTCAAAAATATCATTTAGAACCAAAAAGGTAATGCTCAGTGTTAAGCTGTTTCTTTAGGGTAAAAATGTGTTTTTTGAAATCAAAATCCAAAATTTGACTCACAAAACTTTTATAATGCTTAGATTTTTAAAAAATCTTGAATTGAAACTATAAAGGGGGAAAAAGGAGTTAATAAAAACAAGTTACTATTTACTTTCGGGTTTCTTAAAATAACTCTGATGTAACAAATTATTCACTTATTTTAAATTCTTTTTAATTCACTCCTCAGGATATGTTTATTGATTTTAAAGTGAGAGAAAAAAACATTGATGTGAGAAACACTGATCGGTTGCCTCCCACATGTGCCCTGACTAGGGATAGAATTCCCAACCTAGGTATGTGCTCTGATCGGGGAATTGAACCGGCAACCTTTTGGTGCACAAGACGAACGTTCCAACCAACTGAGCCACCCAGCCACGGCCATTGATTTTATTCTTAAATATGACAATAACATACTCTGAAGAAAGGGTGTATGTATGTAAACACTAAATCATTGACAAAATCTTTTTCATCTGTGGTTATATATGATGAAAATGTTCTAATCACCCATCTCCACTACTATATCCTGACATATATGGCCAAGGAGCTACAGTATTTACAGGTCACTGAGGAGGGAATTTTAAGTCACACAGTAATTTTAAAGTTGAGAAGTACTGTCCTTACATTACAATGAAAAAGTTCCCTTTTGCATATTTTCCCTTTAAAATTTATTATGAGCTATATCCTTCATACAGTGGAATGTATAGTTTAAAGATAATAAGGGAGTGGATACAAATAGTACAGAAGCTAAAATGGATGAGACTTCATTTTTAGTCTTTAAAAACATTCGTTTTTCCCCATATTTTGTTTTTATAATGAAAAATTTCAGACATACAAAAAGGTATCAAGAATAATAGAACCACCTCCTTTACCCATCCTTCAGTTTTAGAAATAAAACATCACAGATGGAGTAGAAGCCCTCTATGTACCCTCTCTGATCCGACTTCCTTTCCTCCTCTCTCCAAGAAAGTTACCCTCTTGATTCTATGAGTTGAAAGCTTTGTTTTAATGTTATTCTTCCTACTGTAGTGACTTGCTTTACCATTCCACATTATGCTTGGAAGATGTACCCATGTTATCACATAGCCACTGTTCATTTTCACTACTGTATAGAATTCCATTGTGGGGATATACAGTATGTGGAATCTATTAACAAAATGAACTAACAAAATAAAAACAGAGGCATGGATAATGGAACAGAATGACAGCTGTCGGAGGGAGGGAGGGGAAACTGAATGAAAGGAGGTGAAGGGATTAGCCAAAAAACATATAGGCGTAACCCATGGACACAGACAACAGTGTGATGGTGGCCAGAGGGAAGGGGGAATGGGGCTGGATGGAGGTGGGCAAAGGCGGAGGAAATGGGGGCATCTGTAATAGTGTCAATAATAAAAATATATCTCCCCCCCCCAAAAAAAAACAAGAGATGGTTAATGTAAACATAGTGACAAGTACTCTGGTAAGGAAAAAAAATAAACAAACTACAGCTGTACACATCATCCTAGATAACTCTCAAAAATCTACTATAGAGAGGAAGAAGCCCATTGCAAGAGCCTACACACAGTACAGTTACGAACCATAGCATTAAGATACAGGAATGCACGCGGAGGTGATAAAACTGCAGAGGGGAGGGAACAGTCATCTGGAGGGTCAGACAGGGACTCCTCCAGGGGTGGGAGGGGCTGCAAACAGGGAGCGCCCAACAGGAGCCTCTAAGGTCTTCTTGCCATAGATGGTGAGTAGATGAGTGTTTTTATTTTATTAAAATTATTAAAAACTTACAGCTATAGCCTTGGCTGGCGTAGCTCAGTGGATTGAGCACGGGCCGCGAACCAAAGCGTCGCAGGTTCGATTCCCAGTCAGGGCACATGTCTGGGTTGTAGGCCACGGCCCCCACCAACGGCACATTGATGTTTCTCTTTCTCTCTCTTTCTCCCTCCCTTCCCTCTCTAAAAATAAATAAATAAAATCTTAAAACCCCTTACAGCTGTTTTCCACACTCTTGTGTAAATGTCGTATTTCATACTAAAAATAGTTTTGTTATATTTTAGTCAGTCATTTCTCATACATTTAATATAGTTATAAAAAACTAAATTAGGTCATACAATTTTTATATACTCAGTATAACAACCTCTATCCCCCAAATATTTTGATTTTTAAACAAATCTTTGGTTCTGTTTGTCTTTTATAATATACCTGCTGGGAGGAAAAAAAGAGTGAAAAGGCAAAAAAAAGAAAAAAATATTAAAAGTTCTGATTAATCAAGGTTAAATTGCAAAATCCTCTCTTCTGTAATAGCTCTCATATATAATTTGGGCCAAATATAATTTCAACTCCTTAACAGTTAAGGAGTAGTTACATTTATACAGCCCTAAAATTATTTCGGCTCTTTGAAGGTAACTGCAAGGCTGATGGGCACCCCCCTCCGCCCCCGGTGAAAATGAGTTTGACACAGCAGACTAGATGGCTCCTAGAGGCTGTATGTGAATGTAACGGGTAACAAGTAAAGGATTCTTTAAGTTAAAGTATGCTGTACCACAAAAGGCTACACAAAATGAAAACAAAGCATTCTCCTGTACATGCACAGGAACCTACAACTGCTCCTCTCAAAATCCAAATTTTGTGAGAGACATCTCATATTCAATTATGTTAACTCTGAAGGCTTTAGAAAATATAGACAAGATTGGAATAACAAGAGTATAGTGCTTTAAAAAACAGTCCAACTAGAACCAGTAAATGGTCCTCATGAATATTAATTATTTTAACCCTTACTAAAGCATCTACATAGGTTAAATGTTACAAAAGCATTGTAAACGCCTACTTTGCTGCTTTCGTCCCTTCCACAGAACACACTTTTTAAACTCTAAAACGCTCTTCTGGAGCATTATGCATCGAGAGTGATGGATTGGGGGCTCGAAGAAAACCGAGGTGCCTCACTCAGATCTCAAACTTTACTTTTTCAGTTGGCCCCACAGAGGCCTCGGCTGCTTCTGCCACGATCTCCTTCCCACTGAGAACCTCGGTAATAGTGGTTATGTAAACTGCGAGTCAGCATTCCATCAAATGTAATCATAGCATGCTTATCATCTCTTACAGGTGGAATCCCTCCTCCAAAAAACCCCCTAAGGACCTGGGCGCAAAGAACAGATCGATGGTTGCCAGAGTAGGGTGGTGGGGGTGGGGAGAAATGGGTGAAGGGGGTAAAAGGGGGTCGAAAGCACGGTGACTGTAGTTAAGACTGTATCACACACTTGAAAGTTGTTAAGAATAGTTCTTCAAAGTTCTCATTACAAGAAAAAAATTTTAGCTATGCACAGTGACAGATGTTAAAACTAGACCTATCATGGTGATTGTTTCCTGATGTACACAAATATCATATCATTATGCTGTACACCTGAAACTAGGATAATCTTGTATATCTCAAAAAAAGAAAATGTTATTATAATTTTTTTCAAAACAATGTAACTGTAAAATATTAGTATCACCCCAGAAGACCTGTAAAGACTTCAAAGCTAGTCCATGTGTTTGGTTTATCTTGGGTCCGTGTCCCACCATCTCCCAGTCTGACCAAGTTATATAGGATATACCTTAAGAAGAGGCATAGACAACTGATACTGGTACAAAGTCAATGCAAAGCAAATTCTCTCTCACCCTAAGAGGAACTCAAGACACTGCTGAGGGCATCTCAATCCAGCAAGTCCTCGTTACCCTCTAGGCTGCTCTTTCTCCCTCCCGAGACCTTATTTTATGAATGAATGGCAGAACCATCAATCCAGACGTACCCAGCGGGCTCTCCCACGCCTTCCTCTCACCCAGTCACCTGCCAGGTGTCAGTTCTACATCCTTTACAGTCTTGAATCTACTCACTTCTCTTCATCATTGCTGAAACTTAGTTTTGGAACCATAGCTTTTCATCTAGCCCAATTCAACAACTTTCTAAATGTCCTTTCTGCTTCGAATATTCTATGTCCAGCTCCAAATCCACTCCCTGAAATGCAATAGTGCAGTGGTGAAGGACAAGAACTAAGGAGCTGTACATGTCTGCATTTGAACCTTAACTTACTAGCTGTGTGAAGCAGGGCAACTTGCCTAATCTTGCAGCCTCAGTTTCTTTACTGCTAAAATACAAAGGATAACACCCATCTCTAAAGAGTGATAGGATTAAAGAATATAAGACATGTACTGTGAAGTGTTCAAAACATAGAAAGGCTGGGTTATGTATGTGGGGGGACCCCCAAAAAACAGAATCACCTTCTGGAAGGCGGGTTCCTTATAGTACAGGTTTCCCCTGCTAGGTGAGTATTCGAGGAACCCATCTGTATCAGTGTAACTAGCTGGCACTGCTGTGAGAGGCCGCGTTCAGTTTCAGTGAATTTTTTCAAGTGAATTCTTTCAACATGCTTGCCCATTTCATAATGGGTAATTTACGAATGCACCTGCCCACACCCTGTTGCGTGTTCAGCAGTTTTTAACCATAAAATGACACTACCCCCAAGCTCCACTCACCCTGTTCATCTGATCTTGCCCCAAACAACTTTTTTTTTGGTTCCCTGGATGAAAATAAGTTCTCAAAGGGAAATGTTCTGTCAATGTGGAAAAGGTAAAACAAAAAATGGCAGAAGCACTAAAAGGCATCAAAATCGACAAGTTAAAAAACTGTTTTGAGCAGGGTATCAAAAAGTCTCAATAGGTGGATTGCATCAAATGGACAGTACTTTGAAGGTGACTGAGGTTTAAACATGTAAGAATATGCAACTTTTTATAAATAAATTCCAGGTGTTTTGGGGTCCACCCTTGTATGTGGGGGGGTAGAAGAAAGAGGAAAGGGTACATAATGGATGTGTGTCAAGGACTACAAAAATCAGAACATAAATGGTCCTAAAAGCAGGGATGCCCAACCCTTCAGCATCTCTGGGCCACAGTGGAAGAAGAGTTGTCTTGGGCCACACATTAAATACACAAACATTAACAAAAGCAAAAAAACTCATAACGTTTTAAGTAAATTTACGATTTTGTATTGGGCTGCATTCATAGCCATCCTGGGCCACACCGGGCCAGTGGACCACAGGTTACATGAGAATTTGAAAAAATATTTTATACCAAAATAAGGCTATATTGTGGCATACAATTCAAAACTTGCATAAATATTTAAGACAAAAAAAAAAGACTTCAATAAAAATTTTCCCCTAGGAGGTTGGGGCTGTTCAGAGCATGCCTCTTAGAACCCCCCTGCGGGGGTGGGGGGGTGGGGGTGAGTAGGGGATTCTCTTTTCTTCCCCACATGGTTTGGGTATTAAAGTCTGGAACCACTGTATGCACTCAATAAATGATATTACCCAGTTACTCCCCAATTTCTGCAGTTTAAAGCCTGAACAATGAACACTGGTTTACCTTTCCGACTCATTTATCTATACGCCAACCCCAAAGGAGATGTAGGAAAAAAGTTCAGTACTTGACCTTCCTCATCGCTGGACTTTCGTCTGGGACCATTTTTGCTCCCTGAATCCTACCACTCCTGCCCCCTACATCCTCCTTCTCTCTGGCCAACTCCTTCAGCCCTTGGGTCTGAGATAAGTATCATTTTCTCTGGCATTCCGAATCCAACTCCTTTTCTCCCAGGGCTGAGCCAGATACCCCGGGTGCTCCCATTGTTAAATTTATCACTGTCCAAAGCTCTGTGGGGGAAAGGGCTGTGGTGCCTTTTCCACTGTAATACTTAGCGCTCAATAAAGACTTCTGCGTTACTAAACTTAGGAATCTCCGTCCCTAGGATTCCTAGAACAAGAAGAACCTTTCAGCGCTAAACAGCGATTCCCGCCATCTTCCAGTGGGGAGGGGACGGAAAGGCCGGTCACTGCCCTCTGTTCCAGCTCACGCTCCAAGGCCTGGCAGACGCCTTACGGACTGGAAGAGAAGCCAGTTTCGAATACAGCCCTGGGGCACGTCCCGAGGAACCACTACCACTGACTAGCGATAGAACCGGAGTAGCCACCCCCAACAGCGAGCACCCTGGGGCCTGCGGAAACGCCTCGCGCACGCCTCCGCGCACGCACGCCGGCGCAGCGGCCCAGGGGGCGGTCACCCCGCGGAAGGGTGTGACGGTCCTCCCGGAGCGAGCGCATGGGTTGGTCCAAGTTCCAGGAGGGGGGCTGGCCTAGGGACGCAAACAGACCCCAAATCCCGAGTCCTCTCACAAAGAAATGCACCCTACAGACAAGCGGTAGTCGGCAGTCCCAGAGCGGCTCCTCACCCTGCTCCGCTTGCCGTCCTCAGCAAAGGACCCCCTAACAGCAAAGTCAGCACAGCCGCGCCGTCGGCGGAGTCCTGGCCGCGGGTCCACAGCGCCCCGGGCTCCTTCCGAATCGACGCCGGAAATTGGACCTATGACTGTACCGGAAATCCCGCCTCCCTTTCTCTATCTCCGCCTAGCCACCCAGGGTTCCATGCCAAACTCGGATTTATAGTACCGGGTCTAGTCCTGCCTCTTCGCCACCATCAGGACAAGGAGTTGTTTTTGAGGCCCAGTCTTCAATGGTGCGGCCTGCTGAGCCCGCCAGGTTGCAAGAGGAAATACAAAAACCTCTGCTTTTGCCCAGTAGCTGTTTCCCATGCCGCAGCACCATGGTTGATCCAAGTTTTGAGTAACTTTGCTGCAACCCTCTCCCTCTCTTCACCATTTTGAGAGGTAACTCAGAAGTTACCTCCTAGATAACTTTCCTTGAAACACCCAATCTCTGAGGTCATTTTCTGCATTGCTACTTGAACAGCTTCTGGCACTTCCTGCTATTAACCACTACCTCAGGCAGCGTTCCTCTTTTCTGCATCAGCTATCCCAGCACCTTACACTGCTGTTACCCGCCCTGCCTCTCATTAGAGGGTGCTACCACAGGCCTTACCTAGCACCTCTAGTGAAGAAATATCTTGGAATAGAACCGCCTCCCTCACTTCTCCCTTCCCACACACGTTGGGAGGCTCTGCTTGTCTCCCTTTGATTCAAATAAACCGAAGTTGGAGGTGGTCATCTTATGCATGCTCTGCGAAAGTGACTAAACGAAAAATTCTGGAGCAATCTGACATAATAGGATATACATTCTGGTTTACACATACGGGATCCTTTGACAAAACTGCTGCTCTTTGGAGGCTGGAGCCTCTTCAATCGACTGGAGACTCATCTGGCCAGAACACCAACATCCCTTCTGCCCAGTGCTGTGGTCAGCCATGTTGCAAGATATAACCCTTTCTATTCCCTAGACTCCTGGGGACCTTTTGCTTTTCTCCGCACTGGGTTTGGAGGTTTTTTCCCGATTCATATTTGTTAAGTCTTAAGTTTTTTATGTGAGGACCCACTTGGTTGAAGCGAACCTGTTCTTAAGTTTCCCTTTCAGACCTAGGAGCCTGTTTTTGACCAGATTAAAACACCACTGAAGGATTTTAAGCAAGTGGGTACTATTAAGACATGATTTTTTTCCTAAATGCTTACTCTGGCTGCAATATGGAGAGTGGGTGAGAGAGGTGCCCCAGTGTGAAACTTAGTCAGAAGGTACTTGTAAGAGAGATGCTTAAACTCTGTGAAAACAAAAGCAAAAAAAAGAGAAATTCAAGAGACCTTTAAGTGGTAAAATAGTTAGAAATTAATGATAGATTGAGGGTAAGGGAGAAGAGGCATCAAGCCTATGTATTAGGCTCCAGGTTTGGGTAATTGGATGGTATAACAGATGGTGTCATTCACTGAGTTAAAACAACGAAAGGGGACTAATGGCTGGCTTCCTCCTCATCAAAAGACTCAAATGGCTTTGCTGCCAAATGGCAAAATCAATGAAGGGATGGACCTCAAAATGAAGGGGCTGATATGGGAAAAAGATGGGAGTGGAGATGTAAAGAAAGCAGTTTCAGCGCTGAAACAAAAAGGATTCCAAAACTTATCTTGATCATTAATACCACTGGCCATTGCCCACTGTGTCCACAATGTTTTCACAGTATCTGACATCTCATGACCAGTCAGGCCGAGGAAAATTTTAGCAAAAAAGAATCCCATTGTGCATGACATCAAAATTTTATTATTGGTAGTAACTTTGAACTTGTAAGTCAATGAAAAAATGATTTATTTTACCCAAAACATTTTACTTCAGAACATCTCTTTGGTTGAGGTCCATCTAGAATCAAAGCTTAGTGATCTGAGAAAGATATATATATATAAATCACTACTTTTACAGAAGCAGCAACTGAAAACTAAGGTCTTAGGAGTTTAAGTCATCTGATAAAAAGTTCTGCTTGGCATATTAGAAATATCCTACCTCCTACTCAAATATATTGCTTTTCTCTAGTCATGTGGTTAGTGCATGCACATGCATTCACAAGTGATTACATGTACTTAAAGAGCCCAGATCCCTTTGCTTATTCTAAGCAGGGATTTTTAAGCTTGACAAGAGTAAAGTGGCAGTTGAACTACAGGCCTCTTGGCCTGGTCCCTGCTTCAACTAAAAATGGACCTGCTCTCATTTGTTTTAGATATTGGAGCATTATAATTGTTATTGTTCCTTTGAAACTCTTGTCCTGCTATTAACAAAGTTTGAAAACCATTGTACTTGATTAGAGATTAAGGTATAAACTTGGTTAATTTTTATAGACTAGAGCCAAGATCCTTTACAACAGGACAGAGGCATACATGTGCAGGTCAGAATACAAAGGACCATAAACATCTTGGATACATGAAGTCCAGAAGATCACAAATTGTAAGTTCTGAGAATGGTTGAGGAGGATGTGTGCAGGCAAGCAGGGCACTTAATTACTGCCAACTAAGATACTATGGTTACTAAATCACAACTGCTCTGGGGAAACCAGGGTTAACCTGTGAAAGCTTGCAGGCCTCCCTGCAGGCACACTGAAGTCAGAAATGCTGGAGTGGCCTCTAGAGATGAAGCACTTTGATGCTCTTTCCTTTTCCCAGACCTGCGTTGCTACAGAACACTCTGATCCTGCCCCACACTGACTGCTGCCCAACTGAGGCGAACTTGGGCAGCATGATGCTAAGTGAGCATGAAGATGTGCTGTAACATCTTACACGAAACCGACATCAGGACAAGGTCTCTTTTCTTTTTAAAATTCTGTATGGCTCATAGCCTGTACTTCTTTTGAGTATGTCCAGTGGCTTGAACTCAGGCTCATGCACGAGCTCTTTGTAAAGCCAAAAGAACACTGCCTCTAAGTGCCAAATATGCTACCCCCATGAGCCAAGTAATCAACTATGAGTCCCTGGTTCTTTTCTTTGGCTCAGCTACAAGCTGAGGCTCAGAGATAATCCATCTCTAACTCAGGGATGGTCAACAGGCATCAAATACCTGCTCCAAAGTTTTAGAAGTAAATTAAGGCATAGAACAAAAGTTGCTCATGCGTCTCTGTGATATATGTCAGCAATTCAACTCATTGAAGAAAAAAAATGGACTGTGTTTACTCTCATGAAATCTGTACTTAGTGATTTTACAGCAAAGAACATGTATAAGAAGTGTTACACACAAAATGAGATTAACTTCATTACCACTGACAAGTATAGACTAAGGTACAAAAACAAGTGTTTGACTTGGAAATTCAACTTTATTTATAAATGTCCTATAAACAAAGATGCTATTCCACCCCTTTAAAATATTATAACTGATAATTTCCATAGAAACCATTTACACAGTTTTAATCTTTCTGTATAAAACTGTATTATGGGATGAGTAAAATATAGGATGGTCTAAGACATAAAAACAAAACAAAACACCTATCCAGCATGAATGCCCTAGTGACAGATGGAAACAAGAACTAAGAATCACACCCCTTAATATACTACTCCAAGAATTGAAACCATGATACTTTTGGGAGGTGTAAATGCTTTACAATAAAGTCTTCTTATAGTACAGTTTAGAACTGTGATTGTTTAGGATTGCTCTTGCAGGCTAATATTTACACTGATTTAAAAAAAAAATAAGTCATTGTTGTAAAAAGGGCACAGACTTTTCTACTCAGATTCTTCCACCAATGAAAATATAAATACTGATCTGGTCTCATCATTCAGGCCAATTACTAAAATAAGAAATGTATGAAAAGAATGTAAAACAAAAACACAATCACCATGCAACTATCTGACCTACAAAATTATAATTCTCCCTGAAGTCAGATTGTATTGGTCCTCGATAGTTACTGTAAATTTGAATTTTTCATAGCCAAGACAACAGAGACAAAATATTTAATGAAAGAGTTCACAATAATATCACCCCAATTACCTGTTTATCAATTTATATGTAGTAATTACTTTTTTAAATCCTTTAAATTTTGTCTAGGAGGAGAACCACTCTCCGAGCATCATAGCTAAGTCACAAGGAACTTTAAAAGTTAAAAAAAGTCATCCCTGAGAAGTGAGAGGAAAAGCTCTAAAAACAGAGAAGTGACAGTCCTGCACCTTTGAACAATCTTTACCACACCATGTACTTTTATTAACAGTCAGCAACCGAGTGTATTCCAATCCTGGAGAGTTACTGCCTCTGATGATCTCGTCTTTTTGTAATGAAACTGTAAGTGCAAAATTCAAAAACAAAAAAAAAACAAAAAAAAAGATAAATAGGGACTCTGGTTTTATCAGGTTTACATTTTTGCCAAGTCCAAGGACAGCCAGCTAAGACATGTATCTTCCAATAAAGGCCAAAGTAGTAACTTCTGCTGGCATCTCTTCTTCTGAGTCTCCATTTCCCCCATTGATCTTCACCCAAATAGTAAAAGTAATACAATTGCAACTGAGTTTATTACTATTAATGGCACTGCAAAAAAAGAAAAAAAAAGGTTGTTACTATAAAGAAAATATCTGAAAAAACTAAGTCACAGTTACTAGCATCCAGGAAGCATGGAAGTACCTAATATGTCATCATAAACATGCTGCCAATACTTGTAACAGGAACATTCAGACATCTGGGTCTTAAGGTTCAAAACTTAATTCAAAGGGGGCTTGTGTAACTGGGAATAAAGGTCACAATGTTACAATTATACTAATATGTAAACACCTGTAGGTAGTGCTGGTGTAGCTCTTGGAACAGAGCACACTGAACCCAGGCAGAAATATTCATAGACCCATATGGCTGGCTATCAGTGACACCTGACATTAGAAATTCATTGCAAAGGAGATTCCATAGCTTCATCACTAAATTAAGAATGAACTTATCATTCTATTCCAAGTTGTGATTAAAGCAGCTAAAAAAAGAGGAAGACAATGAGAATGAGAGAAAAGAGAGAGAGAGAGAGAGAGAGCAAGTGGGCTGAGTTTTAATGGTTTTCAAGAAAAGGTTCTGAACTCTTCTTTATTGAGTTGCTCTAAATAGCTTCTAAGAGAATAGCAGATAGGGGACCCTTAT